CAGTTTCTGTTCAGGGATTCAGATCTCTGGGGAGAGAGCATGCAGTTAGGAGGCAGCAACTCCAGTGAGGCTTCAGAAGCTGCCCGAGGCTACTGACCAGGGCCCGGAGGCAGTGAGGGGAGAGGGAGGCTTCGTGCCTCTGCCCTGATGTCCAGGCTCCCTTGATCTTGTTCCAGGGTGTTCTTGGAGCCAAGTGGAGTGCAGTTCCTAGGAGCTGAGATTCTGGTCAGGGCTGGCACTTCCGCCCCCAGGAGAGAATCTTCCAGGGCCCAGCCCTGGGGGAATGGTGTCTTGCCTGGAGCTGCATGAGCTGGGGGTGCCCAGGCAGCCTGGCCTTGCCTGCACCCACCCTGCTGCCCAGTGGTAGCGCACGTGGTGTATAGGGGTGCACCTGTGCCCGTGTGGATGGCTGCCCCTCACCCCCATGCTGGCCCAGACCTCCACAGAGTTTCCATGTGCCAGTGGTCTTTGGGCTCAACTTACAGCAGCCCATTTGCATGTCAGGCAAGGAGGTAGCAGGTGGGTGACAACCCCTTGGGGACTTCCGCTCACCTGAAGTGGTGATCCCAAAACATGATCCCAGGTTCTTTGAGATGTTAGGAAGGTTGAGCCTCAGAATGCAGGTAAAGGTTAAGGCCCCAAAAGCAATGGTTTAGATTTCCAGAGGTGCCTGCCTCAGTCCTGGCATCAGTAACAGGTTTAGCCCTGGCCACCTAATTGTACTAGCCCCTGGAGGCCAGCAGGTGGCCAACTCTCCTGGGCAGCGGTCAGAATGTAGCACCCTGGACAAGCAGCAAGGACACAGGGCAGCTACATCCACGTCTCCTGCATGTCCCACATTCATGTCCATGCTCTCCTGGAATCCTTCTGGCTGGAGGTGGGGCCCAGAGAAGGGAAGTGCCATGCCTAAGGTCACAAGCAAATCAGTATCGCAATGGGACCCAGCTCCTGACTCCTAATGCTGCAGCTCTTGAGTGTTCCTGGGGCTGAGCCCCACTGCTATGTGCTAAGCATAACACCCTAGACGCCAAGGGCCAGCAGCCTCCAGCTGGCACTGCAGCATGCTGCACTGTTGCAGAGACTCGTGTTGCAGCAGGAGGTCCTGCAGGAAGACAGGCTCTCTTGGAAGCCAGGTCAGTTGAAAGCATATGATTTTTTAATGAGTATTTGCTGGCCTGGGGGACCTGGAAAACAGGGCAGAGGGCTATTTATTGAGACCTGTGACCTCCACTCCTGCCCCTCTCAGCAAGTTTAGGCGTTCTGACAGCCTGCCTAACCCCTCCACGTTTCTCTCCCATCCTACAGGGATGCACAGCAAGAGGAAAATGGGGTCAGGGATCAGTATGCAACTCAGATCAGGGTTCAGTGTGCGACCAGGATCGGGGATCAGTGTGTGACCAGGATCAGGGATCAGTGCTTGACCAGGATCGGGGATCGGTGAGTGACCAGTGTCAGGGCTCAGTGTGTGAGCAGGGTCAGGGCTCAGTGTGTGAGCAGGGTCAGGGCTCAGTGTGTGAGCAGGGTCAGGGCTCAGTGTGTGAGCAGGGTCAGGGCTCAGTGTGTGAGCAGGGTCAGGGCTCAGTGTGTGAGCAGGGTCAGGGCTCAGTGTGTGAGCAGGGTCAGGGCTCAGTGTGTGAGCAGGGTCAGGGCTCAGTGTGTGAGCAGGGTCAGGGCTCAGTGTGTGAGCAGGGTCAGGGCTCAGTGTGTGAGCAGGGTCAGGGCTCAGTGTGTGAGCAGGGTCAGGGCTCAGTGTGTGAGCAGGGTCAGGGCTCAGTGTGTGAGCAGGGTCAGGGCTCAGTGTGTGAGCAGGGTCAGGGCTCAGTGTGTGAGCAGGGTCAGGGCTCAGTGTGTGAGCAGGGTCAGGGCTCAGTGTGTGAGCAGGGTCAGGGCTCAGTGTGTGAGCAGGACCAGGGCTCAGTGTGTGAGCAGGACCAGGGCTCTTACCCACTCCCCTGCTTTCTCCCTCTTCCTTTATGAGCAGCCTGTACCATCTGTCCAATAATTATAACAATTTAAATTGAGCGTTTCATTTGGACTGTGTTGTCCACTCTCCTTAAGGACCTTAGGATGCAAGCAACAGTTTCATTCCCATTTTGGAGGGAGGAGACAGGGCCAGAGCGGTTGGGAAGGCACCGGTAACCAAGTCCTGCACCCGTCATCCGCCCGCCTGCATGGACAGCCCAGTCCCGCGAGTGCCGTGCTCCGCGGTGCACACTTAGGCTCAGACATGGAAGCAGCTCAGACTCACGGCCTGTCACTGCTCTCTGGGGAGGCCGCCAGAAATCACCCAGCACAGAGCCCCATTTCCAGGATAGGAAAGAAAGGCTCTGAGCAGCCAGTGGCCTGCCTACCAGGTAATATTCAGCCCCTAGCCCCTCACAGCGTCACCAAAGAAGCCCAGCAGGCCAACAGGGGCAGCTCTCCACAGGACTGCCCCAAAGCAGCAGCAAATCCAAGCGCACCTCTGGGTGGGGTGGAAAGGCACAGAGGTTCAGGCAGCTCCGGGACTGGCTGTGGAGCCGGGTACTCAGCATGGTCCTGCTTTCTGTGGGACCTCTGGCAAGTCCCACCGCTCATGCCCTGGTCTCTCCCTCCAAGCAGCAGGGGCCACATCACAGCAGAGGCCATCTAGATAGGTCAGCCCAGGCCCTCAGCATGGCACCCTGGGGACTCTGAGCAAGGACATCTGTTGGCTTACCTAGCCAAGCCAACAGGAGCAGAGGCTGCAGTCAGAGCAGGTGGCTCCCCGTTGCTGGGCAGGGCAGGCAGGTGGTGCCCCATCCAGAGTTCAGGGTATCTGGCCTGGACCAGCTGTGGCTGAGGTGGGGCAGTTATGTCCCTCACTGATGTCCAGCTGTCTCCATCCCGACATGTGTCATTCCCTGAGTTGTGGTCAGAGCAGTAAATACCTGTGGGGTCCACAGCCCTGATGCTCACTCTCTCCTCCTCCAGGGCACGTCTTCCAGGGCATGCTGCCTGCTCGGCCATCATCACAGCTGTACTGACTGGGCAGCCAGAACAATGCACATTTACTGTCCACAGCTCTGGAGTCTGGAAGTCCGAGATCCAGGTGTGGCAGGGCAGCTCCTCCCAAAGCCGCTCATTGGTGTGCAGACGGCGTCTTCTCCCTGTGTCTCACACGGTTGTCCCTCTGTGTGTCTGTCTCCTGATCTCTTCTTATAGAGACACCAGCCCTGTTGGATCAGGGCCCCCTAGTGACCTCATTTTACCTTAGTCACCTCTTTAAAGGCTCTGTCCCCAAACATAGTCACACTCACAGGTGCAGGGGTCAGGGTGTCAACATATAAATTTGGGGAGACACGATTCAGCTGGTAACACAGGGAGAGGTAAAAATGGGTCATTTTCACATGCTTGGAGTAGGGCATGACAGACACCGACACTGAGAGCTCTGCAGGGGCAAGTTTGTCACCGCCACCTCCCCATGCACCTCCACATAGCAGCGGCTCAAGTGAGGCTGAAGGCCTGGACACAGGAGGATGCTGGGGGGGAGGTGTCAAGAGCAGATGACGTCACATTTCACCAACCACATGACACCGTCAACTTTGGAGAGCCCCACAAGTGTGCATCCCACTTGGAATGAAGAAACATAGCCAGTTAGGCTGAGACACCAGCAGCCTGTGAAATCTGTCCCAACTTCAAAAACATGAAAACCCAGAAAGAAATGGATTTGACAGTGTGTGAGTATCTCCTAGGAAAGCCAGGGGGTGCCAGGAAGAGGGAACCGTGGAGTTAAAGCACAAGGGACCTTCCTCAATGCTGGGGGTGTGCTTGGTCCCCCCCACCCCCCAGCCTGGATCCTGCAGGCTGTACGGGGCAGGGCCTGAGGATGGGTCAGGTCTGAGGACACTGGTGATCTTGGGGGATCCCACCTTTGATCCCCAGGAGTCGCCAAGACCCCTTCCCTACCTTGGGGCAGCCCAACCACAGAGTGCTTGCTGGAGTGGTGCACGGGAGACGCTGGCCGACCCTCACCAGCCCCCCACCTTATCCACCTGCCTTACCCACCAGGCTGCCCACCCCTTCCCTACCTTGGGGCAGCCCAACCACAGAGTGCTTGCTGGAGTGGTGCACGGGAGATGCTGGCCGACCCTCACCAGCCCCCCACCTTATCCACCTGCCTTACCCACCAGGCTGCCTTCCAAGCCAGGTGGGCTCTGAGGTTTCTCCAGTCTCCGCACACAGTAGGCACTCAGCGGTGAATGAATTACACAGCACCACTCTGGTCCTCTGTGTGACCTGGAGCAAATCCAGGTCCCTGTGCCCTGCCAGAGATTCTCACACTCCTGGCCAGAGCCTGGGAATGTGCATTTCAACAGGCACCCCACGCTGGAAGCTTCTTTCCTCCCCTGCTTCCTGGGGTCCCTCAAGTTCCCACCCTGCCTCACCCAGGACTCTCCGGCCACCTCTCCTAGGGGCGCCTGCCTCAGGCCTTGGTCCTGTCATCACACCAAGTGCCCTCCCCCCAGGATGGGCAAGTCCCAGTCCCAGTCCAAGGTCACACAGCCAGCAGGAGGCAGACAGGCTTGGAACTCAGTGCTTCAAAGCCCACACTGTCCCTCAGCTTCTCCAAGGCTGACAGATTAGACCCCTCTGAGGGGTCCCCTTCTCATGGCCAGCCAGGGGACGGGAGATGAGTCCTCAGCTCACGTCCCCCTCCTCAGCCAGAAGCGGAGGGGGAGGTGGGCAGCATGCCGAGGGTGTGGGGGTCCAGGAGGTCGCTGGAAGGGGCTTAACTTCCACCGGCCGTGCCTGGCAGGGTTCTGGTTCTGTTGAACAAATAAATATTCAGGAATGAAAAGTACCAGGAACTAGGCTTTCCTCCCGACTGCAGGGATTCCAGGTGTGTGTTTTGGTCCCATTTTATGGATGAGGAAACTGAGGGCCCCCAGAGAGAAGTGACTCACCCGGTCACATGGGGGAGGGGAGGGTTCCTCCGCAGAGTGGGGTTGTGTCTTCCAGTGGGGGCCTTTCCCTGACAGACTAGAGGCTCTCAGGATGGGGACTGGCTCCTCCTCGTCTCGCTCCTGCGAATTCCTGGGAGCAGCCCTGAGAAAGCCCGCGCAGCTCGGCAGCACCTGCCCGGACCCTGGCAGACCCGCGACGGGCTCCTCTGTGACAGCCAGGATCTGAGCAGGGCTTCCACGCTCATCGTCCTGAGTCTTCACAGCTATCCCAGGGGAGCAGCTGGTTACAACCCCCACCTCAAGGAAGAGCGCCTGAGGCTTGGGGGCTGCGGGCTCCCCGGCCACCTGTTGGTGCCATGTGTACCTACCTCTGGGCGAGCAGAAGGGGACCAGAAGTCAGCCCAACTAGGAACGGCACATCCGCGATGAGGGCATCAGGCGACACCTTGACTGGCCACTGGTGGCCCTTCCCTGGGAGGTTTGTTTGGTGGGTTATTTTGTTACTCAGCTTGGTCTTTCTAAGCAACCTAAAGAGTGGAGCAAAAGTCATTAGGTGTGAGAAACAAGAACAGCCCCAAAGGTGTCCACTGTCTATCCCAGGAGCCCGTGGATATGTCACCTAATGTGGCAAAGGAGACCTTGCAAGTGGGATTAAGTCAAAGATCTGAGGTGGGGAGATGGTCCTCCTGGGCCCCACGTGTCACACAGGTCTTTATAAGAGAGAGGCAGGAGCGTCGGAGGAGGCAGGGACAGAGAATATGTAACATACAACAGTGAGGTGCATGGACCGCATCTCCCTGAAGCGTGCAGCTCCGTGAATTGTTTACACACGTGCATGCCTACGTGCCCACTCTCCTGAAGTGCCCTTGTGCGGTCCCCTCCCCGAGTGACCACTGTCCTGACTTCTGTCACAAGCTGATGGCCTTTTCTGTTCTTGAACTTCATGTACTGTGAGACGCACCCACGCTAGTGTGTGTGTCAGTACTTCATTCTTTCTGTGTTGCTGAGCAGTGTTCTGTTTGATGAATACACCACAAATTATTTATCTTTTATTCTATTGATGGATAGTTGGGTTTGTAAGGATAATGTACGGATACTGTAGGCACTCGAATGTAAGGATGCCGTGGGCACTCGAGCGGAGGGGGAAAAGCATTCCCTAGCAATATGGCACCCTTCCGGGTTCTTCTCCGCAGTAAACAAGCCCGTGGGCGCCAACACCCAAGCCCACCCACCTCAACCAGTCACAAGTCAAGGCCCACCTCCTGCCCAGCCCCGTCCAATCAGCTACCGCCCCGTCCACCCCCTATCCAAACCCAGAACGCAGCTCCCTATAAATGTACGTGCAGTCCTTGAATAAAGCGGAACTTCTCTGGCGAACTGTTAGTCCGGGTCTCGTGTGTTTTTCCCTTCAGGGTTATTTCTAGATTGGGAATGAACACACTTATAAAAGTCTTTTTGAGGATACGTGTCCTTATTTCTCCCGGCCCTGTGCCTGGGAGTGGAAGGCTGGCACTTAGGAGGCATTCGTTGAGCTTTGCTAGATGCAGCCACAGTCCTCCAAAGTGGCTCTGCCGTGACACACTCCCTGCAGCAGCGCACAAGTGCCCCAGTTGCTCCACAGTGTCGCTAGTGCTTGGGACTGGCCACTGACATTAGAGCCATCAGGGGTTCCCTTGCCACTCAGTGGGTGGGCTCTGTGCCCCTGCCAGATTCCAGGGCATAGAGATAGGGTTGCCAGACTTAGCAAAAGTGAAGAAACACAGGACACTGCATTTTGAATTTTTAACATATTGCATGGGACATGCTTATACTAAAAAAATGTTGTTTAACTGAAATTCAGATTTGCCTGGGCGCCCCGTCTGATGAAGCAGGGCTCTAGGAGACTGTGAGGAAGGTGGAGTTGGTTTGGTCAGGGCCTGTCGCCTCACACCCGGCTGGGCATGACTCAGCAGATCTGCTGTGAACAAGTCATGTCGGAGGAGAGTTAGTGCGCATGCACGCCCGTGCACCCTGGCTCGTTGCCGCTTTTGTGTGCTCGGTGGGCAGGGAAGGCAGCAGCTCTGAACCGCTGGTCTGCAGAGCTCCAGTCTAAAAGTAAAGCATGTGCACGACTGCCTGACCCAGGACCTGCACAGGATGGGGCACAGCGGTCTGTGATCCAGCCCGACAGCCCTCATATCCTCCCAGGAAAGGACTTGAGAGCTGCCTCTTGAAGGGCAAGTCGGATTCTGGCACAGGCAGGAGGCATCTGGGCCTCAGCCCAGGCCCCAGGCTCTATTGAGAACAGTGTGCTCACCATCCCCACAGGCTGCCTGGTGGCCTCAGCTGCTCTGCTGAGCAGAACCACCTGCCGCCCCAGCCCCTACTGCCTGAGTCTGCCTTGCTGCAGGTCCAGGGTCCCAGGCGGTTGCTCCTCCTCTGAGCGGCTGCTCCAGCCTCCCTTTCCCATTAGTGCAAGGCCGCAGGAGGACTTCAGGCCTTAGAAATAGCAGAATATGGAACAGAAACGGATGTCAGAACAGATAGGATCTGTGGGAGATTTTTAAAGGGAGAGGGTCATACTCTGATTTATGTTTTTAAAAGCAAAAAAAAAGTGAATGACGGCATTCTTTCACTGACCAATTTCCCTGGTCCATCCCTGGTCCAGGAGCCTGGGGAAGAAAATTCCACCCCTCACCTCTGGTCAGGAGACCCTTCCTGTGAGCAGGTGTATCCTGGGGTCCATATCCTTGGCTGGGAAGGTTCCACAGGTGAAACGCCCCACCTGTGACCTCCGACCAGGGGATGCCATGGGTAGCATCAGGACCCTTCCCCAGCTGCACATTCAGTCCCATGTGGGTGGTGGGCTGCTGTTGGGGGGTGGCTTACCCAGAAAGTCAGGGGTGGGGACTTGCTGAATTCCATCGCCAAAACTCCAAGAAAGGAGCTGTGGGACCTGAGGAGTTCCAAGACCATCTCAGAAAGGAGCTCAGGAGCCAACCCAGAGAGTTCTAGGACATTCCAGAATGCAGACACTGTCCCCAGCATGCTCCTTTGATCTTTTGGTCTGGGTCCTCCCAGGG